CTCTTAACCCGCTTAAGCGACGCAGTATCCTGCTCATCACCGTCCTCTCGTTTTCGTTTTGTCGGAGGTCCGGAATCACCGTTGATCGCGTCGTTGACTGCTGCCACTGTTCCATTTATTGCTCTCTCGGGTTTGACATCAGTTGCTGAGCTGTCGGCATTTTCCACTTGGACAGGCGTTTGTACAGCACTGGCGGGCTTCTCCTCCGGCTTGACTCTAATCTCTGACCTCTTCTCCAGGATGGCGATGAAAAATGCTCCCGTATCTTGCTGGTGGGGATAAACGCGCATGGCTCGATCGAGAGGCAGATCTGCCTTTGGAGGAAACATGCTTTCACATAGCTTGGCGATTCCCTCAGAGCCGGACTCTGCTCTCTGATCCAAAACAGACTCGTAGCTCTCCCAGATCCGGCCAGTCTTGTCCATGACATTCCAGTGCTTGAGCCCGGGCGAGCGTTTTAACCCGGGAAGGAGATCCTTCGTTTCGAGAATCTGCACGAGCTGCGGACCTCCGCATCGACTAATCGCTTCTGCGAGGACGGCTTCATCTTCGACCGGGTTCATACTACAGGTCGAATAGACGACCCGACCTCCAACTTTGAGCATCTGCAGTGCCCTGACCAGAATGCGCACTTGAGTGACATGGAGACCCAGGCCATTACTCGGTGTCCAGTTCTTCCAAATCTCCATATTCTTTCTCACTGTGCCGTCTCCCGAGCAGGGGACGTCCGCTAGGATTCGGTCGAACTTGAGATAGCGGTTGCTCACAGGTTTCCCCTCAGCTGTTGGAAGAGACGAGATCTTGATGGAAGGGTAGATTGTTGCGTCGTGGTTCGTGACGATAATGTTTGGTGAGCTTAATCTTTTCATCTGATGGACCAACATGTGGGCTCTTCTGTAATCGACGTCATTCGCGATGAGGAGACCAGTCGCCCGGCCATCGTCCTGATACTCTTCGCCCTCTGGTCTGCTGAGACCATTGGATATGTTTAAGGCGACCTGGCGACATCTTTCCTCTTCTCCAGCATGGATCATCTCTATCAGCTGCGCAGATTTGCTGCCCGGCGCAGCGCACAGGTCCAACACTGTCATACCCGGCTTCAGATCCATGACCAGGGGTGGTATCATACTGACTACCTCTTGCCGGGTTATATTCCCCACGTCGGCCTCTGCCACAAGAAACTTCTGAAACGAGGCAAAGGGTTTAAATCGACGGATAACGTTCTTCGGCGTGGTCATGAACCAGGCTAACTGGTCGGGGTACCATTCCACGGGTCGAGGCGCGTCGACGTATTGCCCTTCGTAGGTGATTGAAGTGATCTCAGGGATATAGTAGTCGCGCAGTCGCTGTTGGACCGCCAGGGCATGTCTGGACCCAGATGTCAGTACATGGGAAGAGAGAGTGTGTTGGTAAAGAGAAGACGTACGCTCTGGACCCGGTGAACCTAAAGCTGTTGGGTAGATCCCTTCGCATGGCACTCCAGAAGTCGTCCCTCTCTTCTTCGGCCACGATGCCAAGCTGGTTGTAGTATTGCTCAAACTTGTCATTGTTTCGACGAATATCCTGCTTGCTGCCGCGAGTGTCAGGACGAGGACGTGGTCCTCCACCCCCACCACCACCGCGGCCGCGACCACCCTGCACGAGACATCAGTACTAGTCAAGCTGTGTGTCGAAAGGCAGAACTTACCTTCTTGCCGCCTCGCTTGCCCATTTTCTCTGAAGGGCCAGAAATTGATATAGCCAAAAAAGTCAAGCGGCACGCAGCATTAGCAGCCAGCCATTCAACGCATGTGGGGAAATTTTGTGGTGCGGAGGTGCAAAGCCAAGGATGGTTAAAACAGCTTGTATTTTAGTCCTTTTCAAGCTATGTACTGATGCTGCCCTACGTACCTCGTAGAGCCTTCTTCAGGCCTACTGGATGTAATTGCTTTGGTCTGACACGGAATTCGGGGAGGTTTGTCGTGGACGAAGAGTATTTGTCTACCAGTACAATGAATTGCCCACTACGTGTACCGTAACTAGGTGTCCATTTGAGTGTCGTTGTTTTTACTCCCACTGTTCTTGCATGATTTCTAACAGTTCCGAGATCCAAGGTCAGTCTGAAGTGAAGGATATGTAGCAGCATTCGAAACAACCAAAAGTGGACTTGTCAGACGACACCATGTATCACCAGGGGGGTGGCAGCTTCCCACTTGTTGCATGATGAGGCTGACAGCAAACTACTCCTCAATCACACTTGAGCAAGCACTCTACAGATCTGACTCGCTGAATCTCGAACGTCATAAGGCCGTGCCCGAGTGAGGCCCAGCACGGCCTTGATGTCGCCACACGCTTGTCCGTGAGCTGGATCGAAGGTGACACTGGTGCTTACGGGCATCGTTCAAGCCGAGTCTGGAGACTGGATGATTGTGTTCAAGAAGGCTCCTCCTTTGATTACTAGCTTTTATGCAGCGCCAGGAACGCTCCTCAGGGTAGGGGATTTAATTATTCGTCAGCATCTCGGATTCCATCTAGCATCCAGTCATGCACGAGGCTGATCCAATCAGAACTGGAACCGCAGTCGCCTAAGGCGTCTACATTCGGCAATACCGGGTAACCGGTTGAAGAAAAGGGTGCCAAAGGCCTCCGAGCCCGTATTTGGTAATGTACAGGGAATGGAATTTGCACAGCCAACCTCTAGCAATTACAACCCCCTATACCTTCAAACCTCATTGGTTTCACCCCAGAGAGAGAGAATTCCAGAGCAACGACAACGCTGGATTCGAGAGAAAGGATGGTTTGAGCTGACCTGATCAAATCTCCTCGAGACAAGGAATTGGAAAAGTTGTCATCCTTGGCGATGATGGGAGACGGTGGACAACGCTGCGTGCGGCCGACGTCCTCGTATGGACCTCTATAGGTATATTCTCCTCATTCGGAGTACACAGCTGATTGACTTGATCCCACAGGCTCGATCCTGTTAGGGCAACGCGTTCGTTTCCACAATCTTCGTGACTGTGGGTGACACGATTGGTGACGCTTCAAAGTAATCGATTCCTCAGCCAGAAGGATGCTTAATATCCCTCCGACATGGACAAAAGGGCGGCCGATCCTTCTCCACACCCCCAATCATGTTATGTCAACAGTTCGGGGGAATACCGCGGAAAGGGACCCCCATAAGGAGAATACCAAAATTAACACAAGGCTGCGGTAGCGCTGACGAGGGTCCAATGAGATCGACGTTAGGCAAACGAGTACCGCTGCGTTATGGGAAAGGCAGTTTGAACATTCTATGCACAACACGAGGGTCAAAGGAATGTGCAATTTGACGTGCTGCAGTCTTCTCACCGGCTGTCTACCGCAGTACCAGTCGAGAACTCCCGAGACCACGGCATCAATCACAGGATTGGAGATCCTGTGGTGATCCTGAACAGCCTTCCAAGAACGACCAGGACGAAACATGCAGCACAACATGCAGCACGATATAGATATATAAAGGCCACTCGCAGCTCTTTATTCTCAGTGCCAGCCAGTCGTCAATCACTACTCACATTTACAATCGGCAGATCATTTCCTTCCGTCACTCGTTACTTATCAGCTTCTGTTTAGTTCAGATCGCTTCAACACCGCAATAATGAAGACCTCTAGCATTCTTTCCTCCATCGCCCTTGCCTGCGTCGCAGCAGCTGCACCCTCTTCGGACTATGGAAGTTGGGGAAACGGCGGAAAGGGTGGCAATGACGGGAAATGTGTGTCCCAGGACCAGGCTACCAAGATTGTCCATGACTACGCCTTCTTCCTCGCCCACGCCGACCCCAACCAGCTTGCGCAAGCCAACGCGACAGCTCAAAGGATCCTCGCGGACGACTTCACTGAGCAGTCCGACTCCATCAACGGCTTCCTGGGCCTCAAGGTAAAGGATCTCCCCCATGAAGCGCAATTGCCAGAGAACTAATTCAGGATGTGTATAGCCCGGTGACCTCACTTTCCCCAACAAGCAGGGATACATCAGCGAGGTCTTGACCCAGCCACCCGTGATTGGAATCACCGACCTTCAGCTCATCCCCTTCAACTGCAACCAGGTCCTCTGGTACTGGAAGTTCGACAACCCGGGCAACTTCAACGCCCCGCAAGCGCCCCAGCCTGTTCAGGGCATGAACATCTTCGACATCAACGACAAGGGTCTCATTGAGCACGTCAACGTTGAGTTCAGCGTCTTCTTCTACGTCGACTTTGGATTCAACGTTTCTGGCTTCCGCGGCCCCATCACAGGTGTGAACCCATAAGCGACTCCTTCGGCCAATGCAGTTACTCCAGCTGCACAGACATTGTTGGACGGTGATTTGAGGATGCGACTCTGATTCACTGTGATTATTCTGTACATTTTGGGCATTATTTCTTTTGAACAGAGCTGGGTGGAAGATGTGGTTTCATATGCAGCGGTGTTGATAAGTGCAAGTGTTTACCGTAATCGTCAATTTGGGTAGCACTTTATAAAATTCCAATGTATTTCTTAGGTACATCATTTTTCCAAGCCCCTGTCACAATTTCTCACACCCACTCACCCACTCGGGGTAAAATACGAGGATCTATTACATACTAGGTAGGTAGCCAAAGAAATTCTCCGCGTGTACATACCTGGTACCTAGCGAGCTAGATGACAAAATAAGTAGCACATTTCATCAAGTGCCAGAAGATCCGCTCTTCATCGATTATGACACCCCAATCTCCGTGTATCACAAAAGTGCCCCCGACTCCGATGCTCCGCCAGTCACGCAGCTCTCGAGACAAGAAGTTGACTGCCTGACTCAACCTCTTCTGGCAAAGATTGGATGTTGGCATGCCGATTTTAGACCGTGATACCTTTAAAGAGCGGTATGAAAGCCTCTGGACTCACAGCACACGCTCACAGAATTCATCGCCCCTTGTGAATGCAGTCATAGCCGTCGCTTCACAGTATGCACACGGATCTGGCCTCGTCGCACGGATCCCTCACTCAAAGAATTTCTATTGTGCTTGCCATGGGGACGCCGCTCTGGCTGTGTTTTGCTACCTGCGGCGCTCTCGGAAAGACGGTCGAAAATGTGGGCACCATGACCGACCCTTCATTGATTACTGTGCAAACATACGCCCTCATAGTCACGTATTTGCTTAACGCCGGCCAGTATGAGACTGCCTATACGATGATCGGGCTGGCTATCTGCCTCGCGTATGCACTATCTCCCCAGACGGGTGGAATTAACACTATCGACCTGATACAAGCGGATAGGAGCAGGAAGACTTGGTGGATTCTAGTACAGCTCGATCTGAAATGCTCGCTGCAGTTAGGAAGACCGATGGCTGCGCGATATTCAACTCCGCCCATTCTCTTTCTTCCCCTCCATAATCCAGACGCAGTGGTGTATTCACAGTACCAATTCTGCTGGTCGAAACTCACAGCAGCAATGCTCCAAGTCAGCAATGCTCCAAGTGCACGAAATGTTCCAGCGACGCACAGCTGGCAACTCGGCTTTCGATGCAGCAATAGTGGGAATGACTTCTGAAACATTGGATTCCGCTTTGTATCCTTTGACGGAGTGGCTCAGGGAGATGTTGATGTTGGAGATGTTCACTTCTCTCCAACCTAACACGGAATGTCGTCTCCGCAAGGGCAAATGCAATTTCATCACTGAAGCATCCTTGGCTATACAAGCAAATAACTCTGTTCTGGCTTCATTATCACGACTATCTCAATAAGATGTATCGTCCGTGCATAAAATATACCAGTCCTGCGAATTGTGATCACGACGGTCATCTTGGCCATATCATCGCGCGTGCCAGAGAGTGTTCAACCAAGTTTACCTTGTCTGTTAGGTCTGTGGAAACCAGGATGAAAACTGTATCTCCACCACTTCTACAAAGTCATCATAATTGCAAGGGCTCCAGCCTTTTTGTAAGCTGAATTTCTCCAAATAAAAAGTAAAATTGCATTAATGCTGCTAAAGCCACCTCACCTCGGCTATTACGTCTTGAATCCCCAGATGTCGGGGAAGCATTCCCGGACATGCCCACCTCAAGGAGAGAAATTTAGATGATGCACATCCAATTTTGCTTCAAAACTCCTTCGTGGTTTTCGAGGCAGCAAGCAATGGCACTGACCAGTCACGACCCCAAGAATACTGAGCCAATTCTGTCCGAAAATATATCGATGGCGTTCGGCGAGGCTGAGTACCTTGAGGATTGTCAAGTCCACAGTATCAGTGCCCATGACACGATTGATGCCGACACGGTCGACCCGGAGACACCTCCAGATGGAGGCTGGCAGGCATGGAAGGTAGTGTTGGGAGCCTTCGTCGCTTTTATGTGCAGTTTTGGATGGTTACAATGTCAGTCACAATCCCAAATCCTTCCAAGCCACACAATTTTATCCGAACTTGCAATCAAGTCCGCAAACAATGAGCTAAATCCGTGACATAGGTATTGGCATTTTTCAAGACTACTACCAGAATGATATACTTCGCGGAATGTCGCCGAGTACAATTGCTTGGATTCCTTCTGTACAGTCCTTCGTAATGTACATGATGGTAAGTAATAAGCCACCAGATTTTTGAAATGAGTATAAATTTACGGTTCTAGGGTATCGTTACGGGGCCCGTGTACGATAACTACGGAGCAAGATGGCCCATGTTGGCAGGCTCATTCCTCACAGTCTTGGGAATGATGCTGACCTCCATATCCACAAAATACTACCAAATTTTTCTTTCGCAGAGTATTTGCTGGGGTGCGGGACTGGCTCTTGTTTTCTTCCCTAGTAAGTCTCAAATCCTGGTTCGCATTCACCTGCCGGGCTGACAGGGGCTCTGAAGCTGCAAGTGTCTTGGGATCATGGTTTAAAAGACGCTATTCCCTTGTCATGGCTGTCGCTGTGTGTGGCTCAAGTGTTGGCGGAGTCATCTTCCCCATAATGATGGATCGCATTGTTCAACCTTTGGGCTTTCCATGGGCAGTTAGGATCGCCGGCTTTCTGAACCTGGTACTTCTGGTCATTGTAAATATGATGGTCAAGTCTCGAATACTGCCACGACCTCAACCATTACGCATTGTGGACTTTTTTAAACCTTTCGCCAAACTTCGATTCTGTCTGACCGTGTTCGGTGCATGTTTGGTATACTTTAGCATCTTTCTACCATACAACTATGTTATTGTGCAGGCGAAAGAGGCCGGAATGTCAGCAGGGTTTGTTCAATATCTGGTCCCAATCATGAATGCCGCAAGGTGAGTCGCAAAATCCTCGATGATCCCTACCATCGATACAGATATCAGTGCTGACACGATCCAAGTATACCTGGACGTGTCATACCGGGGTATTATGCTATTCATTATGGCGGCTATAACGTTTTCATTCTCATATCAACGATCGCGGGTGTTTTATGCCTCGCAATGTGGTTGCCGGCAAGATCGGATGTCACTATAGCCGCTTTTGCTGGACTCTATGGAGCTTTTGGTGGCGGCATATTTACCATGGTTTCTTCACTGGTTATTTATGATTGCCCCGTCCGCGACATGGGAACTCGATTTGGAACGTTTTTCTTATCGACATCATTTCTGATATTGGCGGGTAATCCGGTTGGTGGGGCAATTGTCTCGCTTGAACATGGGGGTTATACTGGCTTGAAGATTTTTACTGGAGTTACCATGTTGGCCGGAGTATTTTCGATCGTAGTAGCGAGATTGATGATCACCGGCTTCAAGATCATGGTCAAAGTATGACATGTATGATCTTGTTTCACTCTGCAACTAATTGTATTATGAAAAGAGAGTGGACATAAAAGGTTAGATAAAGATTGAACGAGTCTTCTTATACTATGGCAATAGCCAGATAGACACATCACGAGACATCCTACATGCACTGGACTGGTGTGCTACTTTATTGCTTCTGTCTGTCATACCATTAGAACAACTTGTATGACTTTTTGTTCAAAATATACCCTCGAGAGGTAAAATTTTCTGATATCCCGTTTCGTTCTCTGAAGTAAGGTTGTCCTTCGGCCAAGTCTTGATTCACAGTACACGGTTATTTTACAGGATGAGCCAAATAATACTCCTCCTGACAACTAGCACGACTTTCAACTTCTGCTCTGATCTTCAGCGAATTCAACCGCGGCTAACATCTGATGTTGAAGAACAACGAACAATACGAGTAACCAGACTGTCAAAGAGACAAGATAGCTTTCAGACTTTTCCACTCGTTATATTATTCGTCATATCCAAGCGCGAAGTGAAATAATTACCGCGTGCCAATCACCTAAATACCAGTCCCCGCACCTTCTCGGTGATTGGATTACGTCCTCGAGGTGTATCTGGCGGTTGCCAAGACTCTCGTTCCATGTTCGGTTTGTCAGCAACCGAGTCGTTGAGCGGTGGGTGAGCGGCACCCAAGCGGCACCTGAGCGGCTGTGTTTATGTGTCATGGACGATGACAGCAACCTCATCGCTTGGTAGCAGCTACTTTCCGTACATGCGCGGCTTCACTCTTGATAAGCCCATGACATTATCTAGGATCGAAGCCGCTAGTCCCTAAAAACGAGGCATACAATGTCCCTTCGCCGTAAATCGTGCGATGCTTGTTTCAAGGGCAAACGGAAGTGCGACCTTTCCTACCCTGTCTGCAAAAGATGCAAAGCGAGCCAAAGGCCTTGCCATTATAGTCATATGCCATTCAGGCGACAGAACGATACCATCAGGGGGGGATTCGACTCAATTGAAGATGAAGCCTTAGACGCAGCTGCGACAATCAGTCAGGCAGAGAACAGCTCACGAGATGGGGAGTCGTGGGGTGCGTTGAGCTTCAATATCAACCTACAAGAGGCCAGCTCCATGGAAGAGCTTCTGTTCCCTTGGATAGCACCCAATATTGTGGGAGACCTGGGTGAATTGAAACCCGTTTCTGACATAACCCAGAGCTTCAATTGGGTGACTGCGCAGATGAAAACCTACCCTCGTTTATTTGCTCGCCAGGCGGAGACGCCGTTTATTCACAAGTCGCTCTATCCAGATCTAAAACCCCGCTCGATTCGCGCAGCTCTGACAGTTTGTGCCGCCTCCGAGAATGTGGTTGAAGAAAATAAATCTATGCTCTTCCGCATCCTCGACGCCGAAGTCGTGGACTTGCTGCAACCTGGATCAGGCTCGACGCCCACCCTGCTTGAGGATCTGGCAAAACTGCAGGCGATAGTGCTATATCAAATCATACGACTTTTCAATGGTGGCCTATCACAGCTTACTGTCCTGGAACAGCAGGCTGATATGCTTAAAGCCCTGGCACTAGGGCTTCTTCAGCGGTCAGATGTTGAGCTTCGCGATGCACAGCCTGGCTGGGAGTCCTGGATCCTAGCAGAGAGCGTTCGACGAACTGTTCTACTGGTTTTCCTGGTCTACGGAGTTCGTTCAGTCTATCAGCACGGCGTTTGTCTCGAGCTCCCGACGTTGGTTCTTCTACCCGTTTCGACCCAAGCCGCGTTCTGGAATTCAAAGGCCAGCTACGTGGAACTTGGTGATCAGGCGGGGACGTTGAAATACAATGATTTCAGCACGCTGTGGCTCGCTTCTCCACCTAGAGAGCTTCAGGCTTTTGAAAAATTACTTCTTGTATCTTGTAAAGGCATTGATCAGGTCCGAGCCCACGGCGGTCTCGACCTGGCCAATCAAAATGTTCAACCAGGCATGAGTCAATCATACTGAACAACAGGAATTCGAATCTCCTGTCAACGATTGTTCGACATTAGGAGAACATCTCTCTTTAGAGGGACCAGGGTGTTCCTTGGATGACACCGAGGCATTTTCAAATACCTCACCACTCATTTTTGTTTGCCCCTCTGAATCGCCCGCTTTCAAGAAACCCGCACCGCGCCGCACCCCAAAGTTGTACGAGTATGTATATTTGCGGGCAATTGTGGATGCGCCCCGCCCAATCCCGCACGCCGCCAGCGGGCTTCGTCAGCATCCTCGACAAGGTTCGTCACTCAGCCTTGCGGCCTTCATGCATTCACGTCAGTTGATTGTAAATGGACGACAATTTATTAAACACTTAAAAGGCGTGGTATGTACAGTATTAAATTTGTAGTCGTTGGATGGCTTCATCAATTCTTCCTCGTCTTCGATCTCTTTCTAGGTGAGTTTTATCAATCCGCAGGTCTCGGTATAGCTTTTCGTTCTAGATCATTCCCTACCAATATTGGCTGACAACCAGACTTTGTAGGTTTCTCTCGAGCGGATCATCCAAGATGCCCATCACCGAACTCATATTCCCAACGTACAAGCTTGATGCCGAGTCTCTTACGGCTTTGAAGACCAATGAATCCCACATCTTCTCGCACCTTACAAACGTCAATGGTCTCCAAGCCGCCTTCAACGGGCAAATCCTCGAACATAATGGATCTCCAGTTGATCCAAAGAACGTCAGAACATTGCTGGTTTTAGGTAGGAAGAGACTTCAAGTTTCCCTCTCTATTATTTCCTTGGAATTTTTGAATTGTTCCGAACTACATTTTGGTAGGAAGCATCTGATTGACGGAATACATGGCGGTTACGTACGATAGATTGGGTTGACTCAGCGTCCTTCGATGCTTTCTATCCCAAGTCCGAAAAGTTCCAGGCCTTCATTAATTCGGTGAAGCCTTTCGTCGCAGCTCCTGCCGTGCCGGAACTCTACGAACAGCAAGAACGATCCATCGCCTGTACGTCGACGAATGTTACACAGATATTTAAGTCAACAACAAGCGACACAATAGAAAAGGCGTGGGAACAGCTGAAGAGCTCGATTCGAGATCAATACTCGATTGCAGATGCGCCAGCCTTTTACCATGCGACTGGAATCAAGAACGATCAGGGCAAATTTCTAGGGTTGATCGGGTGGCAGAATCTTCAGGTGAGCAAACACCCACGGGACCTGAACTAAGTAAAACTCTGTTCAACCAACTATTTTTTTTTTTTACAACACTCCGGGTCAACAGAGAGACAGACACATCCGTCGGTCAATATTGTGCTTTCCGGACAGTGCTGGGCTGACTCACGAGAATATTCAGGAATATGAACGTGTTGGAAAGACCAGCGCCGTAATGGCGCGCATCCACGAACTGAGCAACGAGGCTGGCGGAGAGGTGGAGAATCTCGTGGTGCAACTGGGCCAAATCTAGAATAGGGAGTCGAGGGCGGCGGCGGCTCACAGCATTCTCGACAGGTACACGGGCTGAAGAGCAGCCACATGCCAGCCAAAGTCATGGCGAGGTTGTGGGTGAGGTGTTGGTGAAGGGGTATTTTTGCACGTCAAGTATATAGTACCGAAAACCTCTCTACTCTTGATTGTTGTTGCAGAGATAGATATCTATTAATAACAGCCTTACTCCTCAGGTGTTACAATCCCAGCCCATACCAGGCCAATTCCGAGCCTTGGTTGATTTGCTGTCTAATGGTTCGTTTCCCGGTTTGCTCCGACAGGGATTATGTATATTCCAATCTGCAAAGAAACATCACTTCTAGACTTGTTAGAGGAAATCAATGGTTCTCTTTCTCTTGAAGTACTTCCGCTTAACCTTGGTTGAGATGCAATGTCTCGTGGACAATCACTATGATGTATATTCCCTTTATTCTGATCATGTGAGAAATGGAGACATGACTCTCTGGATGTGAAGCACGTTGTGGCCTTCCAATAAAATTCTTCTTCTTATGTCGCTGTATCCCAGACTTTCCGCTACACGCTTCAGGTCTCTCATGCCATCCAAGTAGCTCACCCTGCCCGCCAGTGCGACAGCCTCTAGTACGTCTCTGAGAAGGATTTAGAAGCTGACCTCTCGACACAAGCCTAATCGGAGGAATGAGCGGCCAGTTCGGTGTATGGCACCCTGGAGAGTGACAGGCTTAGAAAACCCCAATGGTGTAGACATATTCCTAGCCATATCCGGCCCGTAAGAGTAGCGAATCAAAGACACCAGACTTCCAAGGTACTTCATCAGGAACCCTGAAACCGAAAATGCCCATATTGTGTTTGTGGGGGAGGGGGAGGGACGAGCCTGAATGACCCTGAAAATCCTCCCTGCCAAATCAGGCTAGTACTACCTAACCATGTCAGCCAAAACGGATGCTCAACATATCGAGGTATACAAGTTAAATCCGCAGCGCGGGCAAGGATCCGGAGTTATCTGGGGTGAATACCCCGGACGATGGTCTATCTGCCTATCGAGTAGATCCGGCTCCTTCGATGATCCACTGAGCTGCCTCGGAGAAAGTGTACTAATCCGCACTGAGGCCACCAGCAAAGACCGTGATTTTTCGAGCAGCAACAACTTCTTGTAGAACCCAAACTCGCGTGAACCAGGGACTTCGAAGCAAAGCATACAGACGATGAGAGTCTCTGTAACGCATGCTGCCAATTTCATCTTGATGACGCTGATGCTCACGGTAATCCTTTACCACGTTTCCGCGACCGAGATGCGTGGCAAAGCGTGCAGCAGTTGGTGAGGCTCTGGCATGAGCAACGCGAGCCACTGTGCAGGTGCCTCGTGATTCTTTGTATGATCTCCGTGTAGTAGTTTAGCACGGCCCATCTGCTAGAACATCTCCATGTAACAAGTTGTGGATAGAGCACGCTGAGCAGTTCCGATCGAGCTCTGCTTTTTGGGGCTCCGAGATCAGATTGTGTTGATTGCTGGACGACCATCATGGTCATATAATTGAAGTCAGGTCTGCCGGCGGTGTTTACCTATGATGTCAAATCCCAGAATCGTGTTATATGCTGGAGTATTTGTGCTATTGTTACTCTTCTCTAAAGATACACAGTCACTTTCGATCGATCTTGCGTTGGCCCTTTGCTCCGTTACAGGTCGTCAAGACATGAGCAGGTCAGGGCAGTCTGCATCATGGGGAGGCTGAATGCACTCCAAGGTAAGTAGGGGTTCATAATGAGGTGGTGGCAGAAACAGGGTTGCCCGTGGTCGCAGTGTCAGCGCCCGACATGTGATTTCAACTTCAGAAGGACCGCCGAGTGGCGCCGCTACCTCCCCACCGGCGATGAAGTCGACTGTGGCATGGGATGTCAATGTCAATATATGGAGCACCTATATGTCAGCCTTCTGATGAGAATGTAGTCCATACGGAGTCACGTCAATGCCCGCGGATTTTTTTATGTTGACAATTATGCAGACCGGAGCCGGAGATTTAGGGCACTTAGCGAGTTCACTGGCACTTTAATGGCTAGCTTCTAATTAAGAGGCATAGACTGGTCACTTATAACACACATATTAATGCCAATGGACAAAGCTAACACGGCACTAAACAGGTCTAATCCGGCCTAATAAGGCCTATTCAGGCCACCCGCCCACCTCGGTCCTTTTCCCACCACCGGAGCCCGTTACTGAAGATGCCTAGTTGTACAAGTACCTGCAACACTGCTTCTTCACAGGCAGCTATGCCGCCCTGTATCTCCATCAAAAGGAAACGGAATCTCAAAGCCAGCATCCGACCATGAAGCTCGTCATATCTGGAGCGACGGGATTCGTCGCCACGGAGCTGATCCGCCAAAGCCTCAGCAACTCCAGCATAACTTCGGTGGTGGCCTTGGCCCGTCGACCTGTCACGGTGCCCGACAACCTTGGCCCTGAGGCAGACACGTCCAAATTGAAGACTGTGGTCCTCGAGGACTTTTCAAAGTACCCGGACGATGTGAGGAAGCAATTGGAGAATGCGGATGCTTGTATTTGGTCCGTCTCTCCTGTCTATCCGTGCTTCGATGGACCCCAGCGGTTCAAATAAACGTGGGGACGGGGGCTAAAAGTCCAGATTCAGGACCCTCGCCATCACTCCCAGCAAGTCCAAAAGCATGCCGTGGGACGAAGTATACCGAGTTTGCCACGAATACACAATGGCCGGACTCAAGACGACGTTCGAGTCGTCCAAGGTTGCGAGCAAATCGACCCCGTTCCGTTTCCTGTACATGAGCGGCACTGCCGCTGAACGAGACCCGACCAAAACCCCCCGGTTCATGCCCAAATACTCCTTGATGCGGGTAAGTTCCTGACAATTTGACACCACAGACCGCCGAAGGCATCTGACTCCTGCGACAGGGCGAGACTGAGAACCAAGTCCTGGCGTTCGCATCCTCACATCCTGGCAAGATCGAGGCTACCGTCGCGAAACCGGGACTGATCACGCAACCGGGGAGTATATACCACTGGCTGCGCTCCACTTTACTCTGGTATGTAATTTCTCTGCCCAGCATAAGTGTCGTGGAAATTGCGGCTGCCATGTTGGATCAAGTGGTGAATGGGTTTGAGAAGGATCCTTTAATGAACGAGGACTTGGTCAGAATTGGACAACGTGTGCTGCAGGAGAGTAGTTGAGGAACTTCAATGCAAACGGGGGCTTATTGAGCCGACCGTGTAGAGAGGCAAGCAGATTGGGGGTTGCATATTATGGGTTCTGAACCTTTGCGTTTCACGCATTTCGGCATGGCATTTGGCAGAAGGCAGGAAACGAATGCAAGCCGGAAAAATTGGAGGGGCGCTGCTGTGTTCCAAATTCGATATTGCCAGATGCGTGAGCACTCTGTGCGACGACACCCACAAGGTATCAAGTCCTTCATATCAAAATGCCTGTGCCGGTTGCCCGTGCCAGCCCAGCCGACGCCTCACAATGCACTTTTGAACCCTCCCAGAAGCCCCTAAACTCCGCGCTTGTCAGATCCAGTCTTCATGATCACTAGAACACCCATCGGTAACTAGCATATCTTCCCGCGGTTTCGCTTTTCCTGATGATCTTAACAACGTTCCCTCTCTTTAAGCCCAAATATTTGGCTACAGGGTCGCTGAATTGGATTCGAGGCAATTGCGTCTCCTTCAAACGGTACCTATCCAGAAGCACTTTCTTCTCTTCTGCGCTCAACAGTACATGTTTGGGCACTAATTCATGTCTTGTAATGTTGACGAGAAGGTCCTGCTCCTGGAACCATTCAGCGGTAATTCCTCGTTCGGTAAGTGGCTCGAAGGCGCGTAGGGCAGCAGCCGTCACTGGTCCAATGGTAATGAAAATCCCCGTGGTAAACTTGTTCGCATCAAGGTGCTGGGCAAATGCGCGTAGATGTTTGATGCCAATGGTAGTTTCAGGACTGAATTCGACCCAAATCGTGCCGGCTGTCGTTTGAGGGTTCGGATTCGATTTCGTGGCCCGGGGTGTGTCGCGCTTGATCATCTCTTCCGTAGGGACAGCTTGGAGTTTCATGAGCCTCCTCCTATCAAATGTAAGAATCAGAAGTAAAGTCGTCTAGAATCCATCTCGACTCACTCGGCATAACCGCTTTGAGGATCGCCGAACTTGCGCTGAAACTGATCGCGCGAGATTTTTAACTCATCCTCTGCGATTGCGTAGCCCTAGAAACAATGTCAGCTGCAGCAAGACGGCGTGGAGGAACTCTGGTCCTTCCGTACCCTGTCGACGAGCATCTCCAACACTGTCCTCCATGTCCGCCACAATCTAGTTACCTCCTTCTCAGCTTCGACTGAAAGTTTGGGCCTGTCATCGAGATCCATTTTGAGGGCGCTAATTGGGTGACAGGAAAAGCGTTACAGAGCAGAGACGTGTTCCTAAAAGTGGCTGCTTTCGTGGATGTTTTAGTAGATGCACGACCGCAGGCTGAGGAAAAATTCTGGATAAACCTCGGCGGTACATGAGTTACTCGGATAATAGATTCGCCGTTCCGTGGGAATTGACTCTTTTGACTCCTGACCAACACCCACCCAACACCCACCCAACACCCTCAGGAGCGTCTAGCAGGACGCTTGTAATAAGGCTGCAGACCAAGCAGCAACAAGGCCTGGAAGGAAGTCGTATGTACTTAGATGCAAGATACCATAAGTTTGGTTCACTACAGCAAGATTGGTCCATTAATTGATGCTACTCCCATTCGTATTGAAAACTATCTCTGGCAGACTTCAAGGATGTTCATAACCCGACGAATATGCAGACTCGGTGTCCAACATGTCGCTGCGCCCCTGCTCTGGCTTATTGATTTAGTACGCCTTGATCTCTCAATTCCTGGATCGCGTCTGCAGCCCATTCTCCACATCTTCTGACTGGTTTTGTTGGGTTGAGCTTCTGTCCTTTGAGATTCAACTGACGTCCAGGGACTGCGATTTCTCGGCAGATA